ACAGAAACACTAGCTGACTGATAAAGGCTGATCAGGTTGTCTGACGGTATTAGTGTGATTGATGCTTTAATAATGGGAGTATTGATTACTGATCAGCTGGCTAAGCAAGGTAATAATCAGCTGATTGTAGTCAGTTTCTAAAGGCTGTAACTTTGTGTGTTTTTAAAACTTCTAAACCGGAGCTCCAATCATTCCAATATCAATATCAGTAACACATTTTCAGCGTGTAACCCCTCTGTACCTCCCAGGAGTCCCGTCTGTGCGTGTAGACTCGGAGCGGCGCTTCACTGGAGTCCATCAGCACCCAGAGTCGGCCCTCCGGGTCAAAGGTCACGTCCAGGGGACAGTGGGGCAGGGCGAGCCGGCTGTGTGGAACGAGCTTCTCCTCCCCTTCCTGCTCCACGGTGAAAAACTGAACCGCCGAAACCCTGAGGACACAATCAAACATCTTTCTCTGCTCTGATTGGTTGTTTATCGATCAGGAGGAGGAGCTTCGTGTCGCTGCTGCAGCTTTAATGCAACTTCCACTATTTATAGTCTTATGCCTCCGACCCACTTTAAGTGTCACCTACTGTACAGCCGACTCTATAGCATACAGCCGACTGACCTCCGCGCTGCCCTTGTGCCTCCATACATCCAAAAATACATCGAACAGTTGTGAGCAGAAATAGTTTTGAGCAGCAGAGGAGCCGGCGGCATGTGGAAGTTATAAACAGCTTCTTGTTCAGAGAAACACTGAGAAAGTAAATGTTTTAGAGCAGATTCACTCTGACAGACGGAGGAGGAACTTTAGGTTTCAGTTCAGGTGGAAAGAGAAATGTCTTATTTAACCTGCATTTAACAACGAATGTCAAAACATTCACAAAAACGTCATTTATTTGTATTTTTATATTAAAATCTAATCAATGGATCCACTACAGCTGCGGGACCAGAGGACGTTGCTCCCTAACTGCCTGTTCGTACAGGAAATACGTAAATATGAGAAAAACCAAACAGCTCTCTGCTTTCTGGTTCACCTCGACTTTCACATTTTGTACACACTTCCTGCTTCCATATTTTGTGGCTTTAAACAGAAACATTAGACATAAAATGTTTTACAACTACAACCGCCACCGGCCTCGCTGTGTCGTCGGTATCTGACGACGTTTAAAGCAGTGGATGAACTTTTCATCCAGAAAGAAAGTACAGAAAAACATCTCTGACGGTGGATGGGTTATATAAAGACGTCGCTCTCACCGTTCGCACTGTACGGCTACGTGGCGAGCGTCAGGAGAGCTGGCGATTCTGCACACAGTTGGATTCTGGGAAATAAAACAGACATTTATACAGAGCACCTTCACTCATCCTCACTCCACCACCTTAACCCCCGAACAGTTTCTAAACCAGTCAAACAAACAGGCTGAAAAGTGTTTAGTTTTGTGACTCCCGGTTTTTCCCTAAAATGGTGTGCATAGATAGGAGCCGGTTGCATGTGTGTACTGAAAATAATAACAATCTCAATGTTTTTCTTCCATTTTAGGAAAATAAAATCAGTTTAACCCAATGTGCTCAAAGACTAAATATAGTCCGATCAGAAATTGTCTGTATCTCAGAAACCAGACGGAGGACAAACAAGTTAAACGGGTTCATATCTTTAACTCATTTAATCATTAAATCTCTTTTTTGTTTAAACTTTCATCGGTTTGTCTTTCCACCGCCGTCTCCAACTGTCCCGAGGTGAAATGTTCTTCTACAATCCTTCATGTACGTGTGAATGTCACCTGCCTGCCAGTGTGAGGAGGTTGAACCTTCATCTAATTCACACTTCATCCATCAGAGAGAGAGAGAGAGAGACAGAGAGAGAGAGAGAGGGGGAGAGACAGAGAGAGAGAGAGAGAGAGAGAGAGAGAGAGACAGAGGGAGAGAGAGAGAGAGAGA